GTATCGTCTTATTTTCCCCAATCATCTTCCAGGACAGCAACCTGACAGATGATTGGTTGCTACCTCTGCAGGAAACATTATTAGAACAGTTTAAAAACCCCACCCACCCCCTCATCCCTCGGGTTTAGATTGCTTCCTCCTTCGTTTAACCCTTTCGCTGCCAAGCCCTCCGGAACATTTTGCAACTCAGCTGGCCAAGCCCTTTTGGCAATTTTTCCCATTGATTTGATTTTCAACTGCTGCGTTGCTAGCGTTTGTAAAAGACCCCCCAAACCATATACTTTCTGAAAGCGCAGGCCCGGTAGAATAAAAAGATGGTGATACAAAATTTTTAGGCCGTGCGATAATTGCGCAAATGTTTGTCAAATTAATATTAAACCGATAAAAATACACAATTCAATTGATAAAACACACTAAAATCAGTATCCGTGCACAAAAAAAAATATTTTCTGACTAAATCTAAAAGATAAAACTGTATTGAGTTAATAAATAACAAATATTTGCAAATTTGAAATTGCGTCCTTTTTTTTAAAAGGGTAAAACCATGAAGGTACGCAAAACTGTAAATAAGCGACTTATGTTAAAAATTAGTTTTTTTTTTTTTTTTTAAACAATTTATTGGGTTTTCAGGAAATACAGCAATTTCCAAAACATAAATTCCAAAACCTATAAATAACAACATAAACAATATGTTATGCAAGAAAGTCGGATACTCATGTCACATTTACACAAAAACAAAGATAAACAGAGAATACAGAATAAGTGCAGCCTATAAAATCGTACAATGTCTGGAAGAAAGCAATAGCCCTTTGCTCCCTGAGCGGGTCACATTCTACTATCACATCTCTGTGTGAGAGGCAAAACTCTAGGATTGTCTGCACTATCCTGGGTCATAATCATCTGTTAAAAATAGTTTTTATGCTGTGTTGGTGTTTGTGTTGTGATAAAATGATACAGGCGTATATTTAATTGCAACACAAGGCATCACAACGCATGGCAATGCGTCACAAAGCTTTGCCATGCGCTGCCACAATTACATTTATGGGTTTTTTTAAAAGAAAAAAAATAATGCGCTGTGATGCGTTCTAACAACGCAGTGCATGTGCATGGCGTATACCACAATATCTATAGCCATAGCGACCATGAGCTTATAGCAGAACTGTAAATGCCAGGTCCGTACGGCATACGTCCTTGGCCAGCCGGGAACACTTTTGTTCCTCCATATGCCATACGTCCTTGGCAGGGAAAGGGTTGAGGCACATTCTGTCAGATTTTGTCAAATCATGAAAGAAAAGCAAGGAGCCTCAGTGGAGAAAATCTGCAGAGTGGCTATTGAGTCTAGTCAGATTACCTTCGTCTATCTTGGTAAGTGAAGGTTTTCTTGCAAGTAGACCTACATCAGAATGGAACGAGTACCTGTAGAACTTACTGCTGAACACTAACAGGGTTATTCACAAAAGGGTGACGAGTTTGGAGAAGGCAGGAGAAGTGAACAATCTAGGACACCATAGCTGAACTGGAAAGTGAGGTGAATTGGAGAATTTTTCCACATCAGCTATGTTGTCCTAGATTGTTCCCTTCTCCTGTCTTCCCCAAACTCTTCACACTTTTGTGAATAACCCTGCTAGTGTTCAGCAGTAAATTCTACAGGTAGTGGTCCCATGCTGATCTAGGCTTGTTTATTTCTTGCTTCTCCTCTCAGGTTGCTGTCCTGGAAGATGACTGGGGAAATTCTCTGTTAGACTTAGCGGTAACGATATTTCTGGGAATCTTTCAGAGTTTTTTCTTTCAGCACTTACAGATTTCCCCTTTTATTTTGTAATGCTTATTACATCTTCTTACTTGAGTTAGTGTGATTTTGAAATAGAAGCACATAATGGCTTGAATATCTTAAAGACATGTCGTTTGAGAACTGCGGATATTACCCCTTGGTGTAACGGTTGAGCAGACGTTGTCGGTCTGCCAGGGTGTTGGTATGGAGCACCTAGCCAAAACCCAAGGAACCAGGTAGCCAGCACACCTATAAACAATTATGCTGGACCCTACCATTGCTTATCCCGATCTGAAAATGCTCATTGCCTACTGTCTCAAGCTTAAATACTTTAATAGATTGATAGTTCTGGAATACACATGCAGCCAATAAAGTCATGACTCCTGATCTGCATACATGTTCTGGGGCAGTTACTCTGGACTCACTGGGGTCTATTCACAAAAGGCTGAAGAGTTTGGAGAAGGCAGGAGAAGTAATCAATCTAGGCAAAAATAGCTGATTTGGAAAAACTCTCCATTTCAGCTCACTTTCCAGTTCAGTTATGTTGTCCTAGATTGTTCACTTCTCCTGCCCTCTCCAAACTCTTCACCCTTTAGTGAATAGACCCCACTGGGTCATTGAGGCAGGCAAGCAACTAGTTGTTTTTTTTCAAAAGGTCAGCGATTACAATCTATGTATTCATCTTGTGATATGTTTCTTTTAACTGTTATTTAGACATTTTATATGTTTTAATTTATGTAAAACATCTCACATGAGTGTAAAACATCTCATATGAGTAAGAACGTTGTACATTTGAGAAATGTTGATACTGTTATGGCTTGGTAAAGACAGAATTGTGTTTGAAATATGCACAATAGTCATCCTGCATTTGATTCATACTGTTTATATTGCAGTTATGCTGTTTCTTGTATTTTTGTGGTGGCCAGGAGACCTTATTGGACAAACAAAAATATGCTTTGACTGTGCTATTTGTTACATCCTCTGAACTATACTTCTGTAAACATTGTGCTGTAGGTGGCGTTTTAGGGGCTGCCCCACTTCATTCACTGTGCTACAGGAGACAATCCGAGATTGGACGTACCATTTCATAAAAACTGATAAACTGGTCATAGGAGTAAAATGCAAACCTGCAAATAACTGGTGCTTTGGTTTCCCTTGTGCAGTCTGACTAGGGGATATTCTGCCAGTTATATATGGCAAGGGTATTGGGTGGTGAGCTGCTCATGGCTACATCCAAACAGTTGACCATATCTGGTTTGTACAAATCTTGGATAATGTAACGTGTTTTATAACATGTAAACAAATGTTTTTTCTTTATGCCTGCTTCAAATCTGTTTCAATTTTTTTAAGATCCTCCATTACATAGCACTGCGGTTTATGCTGAAGATGAAGATCTACTGGAGCAGACTAAGGTTTCGTTAGAAAAGTCAGCAAATCAGGTATCTTCTCATCCAAGTGTCAGCCAAAAGGAAAGGTAATGTCAAACAGAGTGAACAGGATAGCAAATAGCTTTAGTATGTATGCCTGTTTCTGGAATATGTTCTATGCTGTAGCTTGGAATAATGGGCAAGTGAGTTTAACAGAGATCTCTATAGGGCAGAATTAATAATGCACAATATAGTATAAAGCTACTTGCAATTTTTTTAGTAAATTAAATTGCAAATAAGCACTCGGAGTGAAAGGAAATATGAAGTTATCCTACTTCTACATTGCCGCTATAGCTGCAGTTTTCTCTGGTTTATGTATTTATAATGCTAATACTATGCTTACAGTCTGATGTTCCTACTACAAAAGCAGACGGAACAGCATCTTGAGAACTATTAAACTTTGATCAAACATGCTTCGGTTTGTATGAGAGCAGTTGAAGACTTTCAATAGAGGGACTGTAAACCCAATTCCAAGTCCCAATATAGGGATAGTAAACCTAGATCTTAATGTGTTGACAGTCACTTTAAAAACGTTGCTAGCAGGCTTCAGCATGCCTTCAACACTCTTCAAATAGTGCTGAGTGTCGGCTATTCCATTAGGATATGAGCTTAACCTCTCAAAATGTGAGTTGAATGCTTGCTAAAGCTTTACAAGCTGCAGCCCATTTGATCAAGGCCATAGAGCTGTGTGAACCCCCAAAACAGTAAGGGCCCATTCACACCACCGTGATCTTTCCACTGCATCCCCAACGTAAGACAAGGCAATTTCCCTTTCATGGGTGGACACCATTCACACCACCACATTGCGGTGGAGCATGGTGGAGTGTGCTGAAAAAAAAGTATGGCATCCATTTAAAAAAAATTATTCAGCGCAGCGGGATGTGACGCGGTACAACAGCCTCAGGCACCCCTGTGCCCCTAGAACTCAATGACATGCCACATGTAACATTTCTAAAAAAGAAAAGTACACAGTGCAGTGTGCCGGGATCAGCACACCAGCTGCTGTGTGATTTAGCGCAGCGGCTTTTGTGAATGGACCCTTAGTGTTTCACACGTAGAGGATTGTTAGTTCTGTAAAACCACAGCTGAAAGAAGGGGACAGCTTCGATATAAACGCTGAAGTCTCCCTGCCCCTTGCTCTTGGAGGGGACTGAAGGCCAGCCTCCTTCCCACCAACTCTGGACCCTGGCCTGGATTAAGGTTTTAAATTGCTGGTCAGGCAAGTAGTGTATCTTATCCCAGACCTAACATCTGAACTCCGCTATGAGACTTCGTATGGGCTTATTTAGCGCTATATGCCCACCGGCTGGATCGTGGACTATCGGGACTTATTTCCAATCTTATAGAACTCTTGATCAGACACTTTATGTATCATGTCCCCCTGTGCCACTAAGTCTGGCCTGATTCCACACACGTTTTCAGGAATGTTAATTTTATTAAAATAATGCAATCCTACCTGGAGGAGGTGGCCTTTGTAGGCTATACAATGTGTGCTGTTTAATAAAGGAGTTCCTGTTTTACTCCTAACATTGGTTCTGTCTGATGTTTAGGGTAATGTCTCTGCTATAACAAACTCTGCTAGTTAGTTCCTGTGCACAGGGAGGTAGCTCTGATGGTGTATCCACTCGGGGTACAGGCGTTATCATCACAGCTCCCTTTTCTTTAGCTAAACAGATGGGTTATAGCCATCACTTCCCTTGCCATTGATGCTCCAGCTGTCTGCCACTTGATTTGCTTCCTCCAAGATATTTTGAGTTGTTAATAATTTTCTTTTTTTAGTGTGAGACGAAACAGCAGTGCAGAGAAGAGTAAAACTGCTGCCTCAAAGCACCGCTCATTAACCCCCAAGAGTGTGTCAGGAAAAAAACGGAAGGTATTTCAAATTTTCAAGTTGTGGATTTTCTGATTTCTCTTGCACTATTCACTTCAAAGCAGACCTTTCATCTTCCAGTTAACATGCACCACTGTGGTAATGGTTAGCAAATCAGAGGAAAGCATTGGCTGACTCCTACATGTGCCTCTACCTTGGATGTGACTTCAGTCTGGCTTTTACTTGGCCCTGGCAAGCAGGGGCAGCCAGATGTTTGTCTTTAATGGTACACAAACAACACTTCACTTTTATTTATAAGCTAAAAGTCATTTGTAAATCCAATGTGTTAATATTGTGTAATTCTTTTCAGACTCCACAAAAAACAGCAACATCGGTACAAGATTTGGAGGCTTCTGAAAAGGATGGATCTTCAGAACTTGAAGAAGCTGAAGAAAGAACAGGGTCAACCCAGAAGACTCCCCCTGCTGAGCAGGCCACAGATAAGGTATGCAGCAGTATACTTCTGCTAGGGCTGGAAGAATAAGGTTCATAGAAGAGTATTTCATGAAACCAATAAGAGCCAAAGGCCTGGCAGCTAGAATACATTAGTGGTCATGACATATAAGAACATAAGAGATTACAGAGGCCTTAAGCCACAGGCTCTGTTTTGTATATGATATTAAACACACTGAAGAGAATTTATCAGAACTGGAGGAGACAAAATCTGGGGCAGATGTGCATGGCAACCAATTAGCTTCTTTCTTTCATTTTCAAATCTTAACTGAGCAAACTGAAAGATAAGCTGATTGGTTGCCCTGGGCAACTGCTCCAGATTTTGTCTGCTCCCTAAATCCCCCCTCATAAAGTATAATACCCTGTTGTATTCATTACACTTATCTTTTCTGTACTTTTATCAAGTTCCAAACACTTTCCTATTGATTTAACCACTTTCTTGTTATTTCAGAAGTCTTCAGGGAAGACAAAGTCTGCAGTTAAAGGAAAGAAAACTAACAAAAAGAAATCAAACAAATCAAGTATGTTGAGTTGAAAATGTTGTTTTAGTGCCTCTATTATCTGGCATAGCTAAGAGAATATCAAACACTTCTGGTGGTGGTGACGGCATAGTAAATCACCATTCCACCGTTTCATATTGAAAGCTATGGTACAATATTTTTGCATGTTGCTGTTACTGTTATTTGACTTGGAGTCACACTGAAGGTGATTAAAGGCACATCAGTTGGGTGTGTGGTCAGGCTATGCAGCCTATTTACATTGTATGTAACTGAACTTTAGATTATGAATGGGACAGTAAGAAGCCATCAGTCCCTATAGTGTTTTGTTAATATTCTTTAAATGTGTTGCAAAAATTCAATAATTGTATACACTATAATTACATTTCTCTATGTTGTCAGTGAACCCTTCTCCTTTACATCTTTGCAACTGTTGTTTTGGGGTTGTGTTATGTGGTTTAGTTAAGATTAAAAGGATTCTTATCAGAATTGAGATCTGCATATCATTTTACCATGTTTAAACATCTGTGTAAATTGCATTTATTGTTACTAGGTCTTCTTTTTTATTTTTTTATTACCCAAGTGTGAATCATATGTACATTTTTGATAATATGATTCCTTCAGATGTGTTCATATCTTTCAGCCTTAAAGATTCACAGTAGATAAAAATGTCCCTTTCCATGTTTAAAATGGTGCTGGAGAATAATCACTCTAAGCCCTCATTCACACATGAATCGTCCGACACGTACAGTTCCATGCTGCGTGCAGGGCCATACCGAGCAGCTCACGGGAAGGACAGGTGCTGCGTGTGATTAATACGCAGCCCCCGTCCTTCTCTATGGGACTACGAGGCCAAACGCCCCCCTACGCTGATCTCAAGTGCATGTCCGTAGGGGTGCGTGTTTCTCGCTCAGAAGCAGACAGGGTGAGCGTAGGGGTGCGTACGGCCGCGTAGTCCCGTAGAGAAGGATGGGGGCTGCGTAGTAATCGCACGCAGCACCTGTCCTTCCCAGGAGCTGCTCGGTACGGCCCTGCACAGAGCTGTACATGCGTGCCGATTCCTGTGTGAATGAGGGCTAATGATGATAATGGATTTTCTTTCTTGTCTATTAGAGGACAAAGGAAGTCTTTAGCCTACAGGCTGTACGGTTGGCTTCAGGAGGATTAGATGCTATCAAACACAACTGTAAGCTAGACCAGGATAACCTATCCTACTGTTACGGTGAAGTGCTCTTTAGGCACCAGGTTCAGTGTTTATTATTCCCCATTCCCTGTCTGTTTTGCCGCAGAAGAGGTTAACGATGTGGTACCGAGTTTTGACATCATTCGCTTGGTGCATCTCCCTGCTGCTTCTGCTTGGAAACAGCTTTGTGGAACCTCGATATGCAGTCAGTTCCTGCTGCCCATCTACATTGAGTTTGATCACCTCTAGCTATCAAACCCTCACCTGCTACCAGCTGTCCAGGTTCCATGAGTATTTGAGGTCTTGCCTCTTATCCTGAGCCTATATGTTGCCTTTTTGCCATTCAGTCGCAACATATCTTTCTACACGCCAAGGGAACAGTCGCACGTTTCTTGGTTGCCCATCTGAGTTTCTACAGATGGTTCCAGGATGGCTTGCAGTGCACCTACTCACTGTGCCAATGTCTGTAGCCTAGAGTCATGTTGCCCTCTGTTCTTGGAGTCCATTCCATCCCCTGAGTCCTCTTTAGCTCCATTAGTTGTAGCTGGATCCTCTGCCCTTTCATCTAAGGTTTTTTACCATGGTCATGCAAGACATCTCCTGATTATTTGCTGACTCTGATACCAAAGGCCACAAGGGCGCTCCCGCGCCCTTCCCAGCAGATTCTATATCTGATTTGCAGCTAGCAGCTTCCATTCCATCATCCGCAGATATATTTTGGTTCTAAGTCATTTCAATCTTAGGCTGGTGAGCTTGCCCATGAGGAGTGGCAGTCCACTGCCATTACTCCCACAATAAAGATTGAAAGCAGCCTCATAAGTTGTTTGCTCCCCCTCATGCATATATTAGCCTTGTATCAGTTTTTTGAGGACTTTGTCTATTCCAACTGTGGATCCGGTCATGCCCCACCTTAACAAGGCGCTTACTATTCTGGCTAAGGATGCGCCTCTCTTTAATGACCCAACTGATATGCATGTCTGACTGGTCAAAATCCTTTAAAATAGATCTATCCACTGCTGCAGTTGAACCTTTGTATATTAGTCAGTGAGAGCAGATGACAAGTGTTAAATTTCAGCTGTGATGGTTTGTTGGAAGCCTCCGGACTCATCTGTCACATGCGTCTCATGTTGGTGTAGGGCTAAAGTGCTGAACTGAGGAACCCTTGTGTAAGAAGCATTTGATCCTGGTGAAACATTTCTTTAGACCAGCTATTGATATGATCAATGATGCTGCTTGTGTCAACTAGACCCATCTTCCTCAGCAGAAGAAGCCTAAGGAACAGACTGCAAAGTCTTCTCCCTCTCTGAATGTTAGGAAACATCCCTTTCATTTATCCACTCCTTTTGGCTTCCTTGTTGAGACCCTCCAAGCTTGGCTCCCCGTTTTCCCCCCAAAGCCTGTCATTCTGCCAAAACCTCAGACAAGCCTTCCTCTTCATAAAGGTGCGCCCTATTTTACAGATTGAGAGGATGTTGGTTGAACTTTGCGGACATTTGACAGCTTGCAGAAGTTTTACTCCCTGCCCCCTTCTCAGTTTTTTGCCTCTTCTTTTTTCCCCAGTCATCTTCCAGGACAGCCATCGAGATATAGGCTCCGCCTGCCTGCAACAGGAAACACATCAACCACATTAAATAAATAGACTCCTCCTTCCATCCCAAGTCAGTTTTTTTGTGTTTCCGCCGGCTACACAGGGACATCGTAATGTTTGTTATTTTTAGGGCTCATGTTTGTTTGCCTTTGGGCTGAGCCTTACCCTGCTAGGCATTGGGACCTACTCCAGGCTTACCTGCTGCAGTGCCTACAGGGATTCCCTATCGGACCCCCACCCGATTTCTGGCCAAGGTTCCCTTCCATCACTCAGGGAAGGCAACCATCCTCCTGCACGTGAGTAGGCACCAGATACGTTATGTGTGGCAGGGCCTCTGCTTCTTCCGCCAGCAACGGATTTGTTGATGCAGGGCCCGGTGAGCCACCCGCAGGTCAGGCTGTCCTGGAAGATTCCTGGAAACAGAGTTATCAGGTAATCAACTCATGTTTTTTCTTTTTTTTTTCTGTGTGTCAACGCACAGATTAGCAGATCTCTATCAAGCTCTGTTGGCTCTTCTGGATCAAGATGTCGCTGCCACAGCTCCTTTACCAAAACTAGTCTACTCCACCTGTTTACTCTTCTCAAACCCAAAAGGGCATTTACTCTATCTTGGATTTCAAGACTCTGAATGCATTCATTCGGATCCACAAATTTTGATTGGAATCCACCAGATCTGTCATTACCTCCCTTCACAAGGGAGACTTTCTGGCTTGTGTGGACATCAAAAATGCTTGTCTACATCCCTATCTTCCCAGTTCATCAGCGACTCCTATACCTTGCTGTGGGGGCCTCTACACCAGTTCTTGGCCCTGCCTTTCAGCCTATTTTGTACACCTCAGATACTTGCCAAGGCCACAGTATTAGCCCTGTTGTACTGTTGTGGCATCCCCCTTATGGGATGCTTAGGTGACGACCTGTTGCGGGAACAATTGGTGAGTGTCTTTGACTGTCCAGATGCTACAGAAGTTCAGGTGGATCCTGAACCTTCAGAAATCGTCGCTGGAACCAACTCGCTTGGAGTATCTGGGTCTAGTCCTGGGCACATCTGAGGCCAGAGTGTTCCTTCCACAGGACATGCTTCAGACTCTGGTCTCAGGTTCAAACTCTCCAGTCTAGAAGGCATCCAACTCTCTGCTTTTGCATGCGAGTCCTGGGCCAGATGGTAGCCTCTTTCGAAGCAGTTCCCATTTAGACCAGTTTCCAGACAGCTACAACTCAACATTTTGTCGTCATGGGACAATTTGGTCTGGTCTCCAGCCAGAATTACTCGACAACGAAAATCAGGTTGTCCCTGGCTTTTGGTGGTTCAGAAACCCAGCAGTGGACCTAATGACAGACACCAGCCTATCGGGCTGGGAAGGAGTCCTGGGCACCTTGTTGGTGCAGGGGATTTGGTTGTAGGCGCAATCTTGCTTCATGTCTCTGCCACATTGGATTTATTCCTGAGGCACATCTGATCTGGATTTCGTCGGGCAACACCACAGTGGTGGCATACATAAATCATAAGGTAGGAAAAGAGAAGTCTTGCTGCAGCAAGACTGATCAGGTAAATCGGATCATGTCCTGGGCAGCACTACACGTTTTTCTCAGACGGCAACGCTTGGACTCGGGAGTGGTCCCTACCCCTAGGAGTCTTCTAGGAGCTGTGTCACACGTGGGAGATTCCGGATGTTTACATCCTGGCCTCCAGGTTCAACAAAAAACTGGACAGGTTTGTATGCAGATACCGGTCTCCTCTAGCAGAAGCAGTTAATGCTGTGATGGGATCAGTATACCATGATCTATGCATTTCCTCCTCTGTAACTTCTTCCTCATCTGCTCTGCAGGATCAACATGGAGGACATTCTTGTGGCCCAGGTAGATGTGGTTCACCAACCTGTTAAGACTCCTGGCACTCCGTGGGCACTGCCATATTCTCAGGATCTTCTGTCTCAAGGTTGGATTTACCATCCTGCTGCTTTGTCACTTTAATGACATGAGGTTGTGAAGCCTAGGTTCTAAATGACAGAAGCATATCTGAGTCTGATTCGTACGATGAACAAAGCTAGGAAGTCTGCTTCCTGCAAGGTTTGTCATTGGCTGTGGAAGGAATACTTCCCTTGGGGTAAGTCTCAGTGCTTCCAACCCAGACGTTTCTCCGTGGGACAAATGCTCTCATCCTGTTTGGCTCTCAGTACTATCAAAGGTCAGGCTTCTGTCCTTTCTGTTCGTTGGCCTCTCACTCATTGATTAAGACTTTTTTTTACAGGAGATCTCCCAAGTAGTTACCTTGTCTGTGACTCTGTGGGACCTGAATTTGATACCCTTTGTGCTTCATATACTGTATTGCTATTCAAACCCATTAGAGACATTTCTCTACTCTCAGCCACGGAGATTTTCTTGTAGCCATCACTCTGTGAGGCGAGTGTCTTTGTTGCGACTTCTTCCTGCAGAGAACCATTTCTTGTTTTGCATAGGGACAAGGTAGTGCTGAGGCCTGAAAGGGCTTCTTTCCTACGGCGGCAAAACCAGACCACCGGGTGCAGTTGGAAACAGGACCGGGCAAATTTGGTGAAGGGAAAAAAAAAAAAGTAAATCCCAAGTGCAGCAATCAAAACATTTATTAAAATTAGAAGATGTCCACACTTACAAGATTGTAGAGTATAAAAGCATTTGAGTGTAAAGGACACCCAGCCTTGAAGATCATCCGGTATGTCGGAGAAGAATCCCTTGACGCGTTTCGTCCTATTTGGACTTTTTCAAAGGACTCTTTTGATTGGATTGTCTTTTTTTTGTTTTCCCTTCACCAAATTTGCCCGGTCCTGTTTCCAACTGCACCCGGTGGTCTGGTTTTGCCGCTGTAGAGGAGATTGACGGGTTTACCGGAGGGGAAAGAAATGAGAGTGATTCCATCAGCTCTGTGACAGAGTGAAGAAATAAGAGATTTTAATCCTACCTTTTTTTTTGCTGATTTTTTCCCTGAATCTTGGACCTCCATAAGGACAGATAAGCGGACTGCAGATAAGATTTCCTCTTTTATTAATATGAAAGGAGGAATTAATGCTTGCAGCATGTGATGTGTATTACAAGACTAATTGTAAGGTGGAAAGGAAGCAATAACAGCTGCGTCTTCATTGGCTTCGTTCCACTTTGATAAGGTCCCTTGTGTGTGACTATACCGGTTTATTTGGTGGGCACATTTGAATTTTGTGTTTTTTGATTTTGTTTTTGCTATAGCTAATTGTTGGAATGCCATATTGGTTGTCACATTGAACACACGCTGCACCGAATACATGCTGTAGTTTACGTACGGGAAAGTAAATAGAACAGCTACCAAGCTATATAAATTTCACAATATATTTCGATAAGGATAACACCTTTCTATCTAACAGTTTTTGGAGTTCAACCCGTATTTCGTTCATGTATGATTAATTTAGTATCACTATTGATGTTTTGCACATTTACATTCACCAGTTCACACCCTCCAGTGTGATGTGTTTTTAACACATATAGTGTTACACTCATTCCAGTTGGGTGGAGTTCATTACACCACGCCATACAGCATTTAGAATATCCCGTACTTAAGAGATAATCACTGAAAAGAGACACAAACAATTAACCATTTTATTACGTTTATTATTTACAGAGTTAATCGGCACGAAACATTTACAACCACCACTTTAGTATTCACTGTTTACAACACATTAATCACTATGGGTGTTGTATTTAGATCAATTTGTTATTATTTTACAGTGCTATGATATATATGAGGGGCATTCAAAAACCAAATAGATTAATCAAACCAAGCGCAGCATACTAGTTCTTCTGTTTAAGGTTTGTTAGTTGTGTTGCCCATCTCTCAGTTGGACTGCTTTTGGATGTCTTGAATGTTAAGGCTTCCTGTACCCCTCAATGGACAAGGAAGATATTGAGGGGAATTTATCACAACTTGAGCAGACAAAATCGGAAGCAGCTGTGCACAGCAACCAATCAGCTTCTGTTTCATTTTCAACTTTTAACTGAAGATAGAAGCCCATTGGTTGCCATGGGCAACTGCTCAGGTTTCTGCCTGCTCCAGTTTTGATAAATTCCCCCATTAGGTTTTTTTTTTGCACTCGACATAAAAAGTTTTCTTGGAGTCCATTGAAGGACACAGGTCCCATCCTTCTGTGTTTGTTTCATGCTCTCTGTATTGCTTTGCTAGAAAATTGAGGCATGCTGGTAGTAGGAGGGCTTATCCTGGGCTGACCAACAGTTTTTTTTTTGTTAGCAATTGTCCAGTTCTCCTAGAGATGGTAGTATAACCCAAAGGTTAAATAATTGCTGTGTCCCTCAATGTGCTCCTAGAAAAGGATTTGACAAAAAGTACAAAAACCCTATTTTTCAATTTATAGAGCAAAAAGATCAAATGCAGTTGACTGTTGGGAGCCCAGAAGATATACCTGTAACTGCCAGAAATGTGAATGAACTTGATGTTCTGCTATTTGAGAGCGAGAAACTGGTTGAACGCTATAGGTAATAGAAATTTATATGGCCTGTAAATTTGTCTAGAACTAAAAAAAGATATATATATTTAATGAATGTAATGCCAAAGAAGACTGTCAGAGGCTGCAGACATGCAACATGAGATGGTCAAAGACTAAGTGCATGCTACAAGAGATGGACAGCGTTTGCAGGCATGCTGCAGGAGATGGACAAAGACTGCAAGACATGCTATATAGGTTTGTGGACATGACAGTGGACATGTTCCAGGAGACATAGACTGGAGTCACATTAAATTAGACTGCTAGGAATCACTGTTATTATAGCACCTCCACACCCCCTCTTCACTCACAGGATTCTCTACACTGGACTTGAGGGAAAGACTTGCACAGTACTAACTGTGCCCAGCCCCAGTGAAGCGGATGCCACCTCTCCTGGGGAAGGAAGGCTTTGGACCGCAGACACTTCATCTATTAGGTGGTGGACCCAACCCAGCAGACCGTCGTCTGCATGCACAGAGGTGGTGGGCACCAGGCATATGAAAAGAACTCTGCTTTAAACCCCTCTACTTCTTTTCTATTGGCTGCATCTCTAAAAGTAACATATTAACAATTTGGGCTTCATGTAATATTATGATGTCAGCGCCATTCTCTGCAGCACAGTACTGTGAGCTCACAGCACGGTGATCCCCAGGGTTTGTCTCTGACGGCCTGAGCTCACAGGAAGTGAATTTACAGGTGAAACTCGAAAAATTAGAATATTGTGCAAAAGTTCATTTATTTCACTAATGCAACTTAGCCGTCTACCAGGAGATTTTGGAGCACTTCATGCTTTCTTCCGCAGACAAGCTCTATGGGGATGCTGACTTCATTTTCCAGCAGGACTTGGCACCTGCCCACACTGCCAAAAATTTTCTGAGATTGTGGATTTGTGGTTTTCATGAGCTGTAAGCCATAATCATCACAATGATGACAAATCACGGCCTGAACTATCTTGCTTTGCATGTAATGAGTCTATCTCATATATTAGTTTCACCTTTTAATTTGCATTAGTGAAATAAATGAACTTTTGCACGATATTCGAATTTTTCGAGTTTCACCTGTAGTTACACTGGGCATTATCCAGCTTGGAAGAGCAGTAATGCTGTAGGGTGGATCAGATTGTTGAGGATTGCAACAAAAGCTGCATTTTGTTTTAAGCTGTGGGGCCAATTAATATTTGCATATTAGCTTAGGCTTGAGCTGGGCTGCAACACTGTACACTTTTTGTTTATTTCTAGAGCCATGGTTCTTTCCTTGTGCTAATAAAACAAATATTTGGTTAAAACATTCTTTCGCAGGGAACCCATCGATGGTGCGTGTAAAAAAGCAGTGGATAATTTTTTTCTCGTTTTTAAAGATCAACTAACTTCATGTGTAAGTATAACACAGAAATGCTGTTAATATCATATATAATGACATACCTTCATACCGAACCAAAATGCAATAAATGGCTTTTTAATGCCGGGCTTGCAGGGATGGTGCAATTGTCATCTCTTAGAATACAGAATAGGAGGTGGAGTTTCCACAGAAAAACCCAGCACACCTCATTTTGGTGGGGGTAGCCCTGTATACACTCGGATGAGAGCTCGCTGGGTGAGTGGATAGGGATCAGTATCGTACCTTTTGCATTCAGTGTTGGTGCTATTTTCTGTAACCTGTCATCTATTATCGGTTAAGGAAGTGTTATGTTTCATTCTGAATGTGTGGATGTGTTATTTCACTGGTTCTATGTCAAGAGACCTAAATAATTATCACTTTCCTTGTGGTAATTACAAATTGATTTTAAGATAAGCAGGGCCAGGCAATTGGAGATCTTTTCAAGATCTGATCATTGTTACATGAAGCATTATGCATTCATTGCAGTTCTTTTGTCTGTCTAAAGGATGCATTTTAACTACCGAGAAGTTCATATCACCTTTCCTTAACCCTTTCGCTGCCAAGCCCTCCGGAACATTTTACATGTATTAACTTATTAATTTATTTTTTTAGATACAAAATGTACGAATGCTTAAAGATCTAAAAAGAAAAAATGCAAAGGTAAGTGTCTGTTTTTTAGACTTCTTTTTTTTTTGGCTTTACCAATTGGATGTTGTTTAGTTTTTTTCCCATATCTGCTGATCTCAGTACCAATATAACCAAACCCTGTTCTGTAACCTTTCAAGGTAAAGTGACAGTCTCTTCTGATTGCCCACAACGCCCCCAAAAGGTTATGCTTGCCAATCCATGCTCTCTCACCACCTCTCTGCTCCTTTGCGTTGTTCGTTCTGATACTTTCTCAGAGCAGGCCTTCTGGATATTGGGCAGCATATGACTTCCCCCATGTGAGTGTGCTTGGGCCGAAATGGCCAACCTCTAGGCCTAAACACTGTCAGGTGGGAAGGGGCAGTGATCTCTTACACTCATGCTTACTCAGGATGGACTCCTGCAGCAGAGAGGAAGTTGAAGCAGTTTGGATCAGTAATTATATACACCTTCCTGGGGGTGGCTAGCAATAGACACTGAATAGGTGAAGTGAAAGTGTCTCTTTAAAATGAATTCCAGTCAGCTGTAAACATTTAAATAATAAGGCAGACCCCCACCTTCCCAACCTGCAATTTTAATGTTTACAGCTGAAGTGGAGTTCAGCTTTAATTTGAGCATTTCTGTTTAAAAAAAGTACATTTCAAAAGTTTTTTGTTTTGTTTTTTTTAACATGCTAGTGGGGCTTCTGAAAGAAGGTGGTGTTTGGGCCAGGAAATTGTGCCACAGGTTCAGAGCTACCTAAAGGATGAGGATTGTGACAACTACTGTATTTTTCCTTGTATAAGACTATACTTTTTCTTAAAAATATTTACCTAATAATAATGGAGGGGCGTCTTATACACGGGGGGCCGAGAGGAGAACCGCGGTTGCGAAACTGCCGATACCTCTGTAAACCACGAGTGAAACTTCCGATTGCAGAGACAGGTTAACAGGTTTCCTCCAATCATGAGCCTTATGTACCTGACGTCAGCTGATGCTGCGGAGAGCGTGTAGCCAGTGCCCAGATGCAACAGGGAGCCCATAAAAATGTCGGAAAACAAAAAAAATACCGGTACCAGTAAGCGGCTGTCTTACTCTGCAAAATTTTAACTGGATGTAATCAGTTATGCAAAATATTGATTTCTGAATTTTGGGTAAGAAAAGTGGAGGGCGTCCTATACATAGGGGCGTCTTATAGACGGAAAAATACGGTAGATTTAGACAACTCTAGTTGTCTAAATCAACTCCCATACCAGCCATGGCTTGTGTTTTTATATCATGAGTGTCTGGCAAATCATATATCATGGATATCTGAAGTATTCATGAACATGATTCCAACTATCAAAAGTATGTTCTATAACTATCGAAAAATAACAAAACATCAAGACCTGCTATGTCTAGGAGTCCAAACTGGAATGCCCCCCTGTTAGTATTGACTGATTATCAGCTTCTAGAGACAGCAATAGATGATTAACTAGGGATGCATCGATACTAGTGTCGGTGCCGATGCTGAGTATTTTGGCCGAGTACTCGTACTCGCCCAATGCTCCGATGCCTAGGCCAATACTTGAGCTTCCGGCATCAGGAAGCCTGGCAGCGAGCCATTACACGCTTCTTGGTTTCCTGATTAGCTGGGAAGCCAGCTCCATGCCCCCTCGTCATGTGTAATGAGTCGCTGCCCAGCTTCCTGATTGGTCAGCACGTGCACTCAACTTCTTTGGTCAACCAAGGCGAGGCCTGTTCTGAGTGGAACCTGTCCTGTTAAACCGCTGTATGCTCTTGGCCACCGTGCTGCAGCTCAGTTTCAGGGTCTTGGCAATCTTCTTATAGCCTAGGCCATCTTTATGTACAGCAAGAATTCTTTTTTTCAGATCCTCCGGGAGTTCTTTGCCATGAGGCGCCATGTTGAACTCCCAGTGACCACTATGAGAGAGTGAGAGGGATGACACCAAATTTAACACACCTGCTCCCCATTCACACCTGAGACCTTGTAACACTAACGAGTCACATGACACCGGGGAGGGAAAATGGCTAATTGGGCCCAATTTGGACAGTTCCACTTAGAGGTGTACTCACTTTTGTTGCCAGCGGTTTAGACATGAATGGCTGTGTGTTGAGTTATTTTAAGGAACAGCAAATGTACACTGATATACAAGCTGGACACTCACTACTTTACATTGTAGCAAAGTGTCATTTCTTCTGTGTCTTCACATGAAATTATATAATAAAATATTTACAAAAATGTGAGGGGTGTACTCATATATACATACACCCATACATATATATATATATACATACATATACATACATACATACATACATACATACATACATACATACATACATACATACATACAAAAATTCTGCTACTGGTCCAAATGATCTTTTGCTTCCTAATAACTGAATAGAATTGCTATTACATCTGAGTTTTCCTGTCTGACTGGAGTGTGCCTTTGATATCCCATAGGTGCGACTAGAAATTGGAAGAAAACAAAAACGTTTGATTGAAGTGAAAGATGAAATTATCAAGTAGGAGTTTATTTTTGGCTGAAACCTTTACTTTGTTAAAATTGCATTATAATCTGAGAATTACTAATGATAAAATTGTCCCATATCCAGAATTGCAGCAAATCTGGTCCATCTGCAGCAAGAATCTTTATTTGAAACCAATGATTAAGTCGGCACTTTCTGACATTTTCTTTGCAGGAAACAACCAAGACTTAACCAGCTTCAGAAGGAATGTTCAGAACTAGAGGAGAGGCAGAAATCGATGAAGAATGCCACAACTTTCCTAGAAAACATTGGGCAGCTGCAGGAGGATTACAGGAAGTGCAGGGCTAAAGACCCCAGCATTAAGGAAACTGTAAGTGTGGAATCCTCCAACAACTCTAATAAAGAAGATTAGGATAGATTTTGAAGTATATGTAAAGAGTGTCATATTAACGATCATTCATGCCTTATATTTTGAGATGTTCATTTTCTCGCCTCCTCCTCCAATCACAGATTGCCTTGTATTTGAATGGGCAATTAGTGAGGAGAGGTGGGTGATGTGACTGGAACACTTCACTGCTGAGTCCCATCCCGCACTCCCGCAGTGCCCTGAAGCTGGGTCGGTGACATCATGCTGCAAGGTAAAATTTTTGTACTTTGCAGAGGCCCTCCACAGATACCAGACAGCTTTTTAATGATAATTCACACACCCAGTGTGCTGTCTGAATGTATCGTTTTTTCTGCAGTTGGGCTTTAAACATCTACATTTGACGTCTTAAATCTTGGATGTCTACTGATGCTGCTGCATACTGAATGGGACCAGTCCTGAAGGACAATTTTTATGCCAATATTTTTTGCCAATTTTATATATTTTATATATAATATTTTATGCCAAAATAAAGGACAATATTTATGCCAATGCCTTCTATTGGATCGTGTGCCAGCCCCTATGCTTTCTTGCTCTCTTTCTGGTTTCCTTCTTAATTTTTCTTTTTGTATTATTGTACCAAAATGCTTAATACAATCTTATTATTTAAACATCTACATTTGGACATCAGAATCTTTTATGCCTGCGGCCAATAAGTTAAATTCTTTTTTAGAAAATAGGATAAATTCCACATGCCTGCTGGAAAATTGCAGGTGAGCTGTCATGTGAACTTCGGTTATCAATTACTTTCTTTTTGTCACTCCTCTAAAGCTGTGACCGGTGCTGCACCTGGACAACAGTAGGATGCGTAGCCTGCAGATCTCAACCATTCAGGCCTGTAACGCCTACAGAGTTGTCATAAGTTCTCTTGGTGGCATCCGTCACTGGTCACTCACTTGTAGTGGATAACCTGCTCTTTGCAGATCGAAACTCTTTCCATAACTTAATCTTTTATTTCCCTGTGCTCCAAGGGGGATGTTCAGTGACTTGGAAATGTTCTTGTATCCGTGAATTGTGCTTTTTCAATCACTTTTCCCCAGAGTTGCTTGGAATGTTTTTTTGTCTTTATGATGCAGGTTATGCCAAGAAACGGACTCACTAGAAGTTGAACCTTCAAGATACATGTGTATTGATGCTACAGTCATGTGAAACCCCTTAAAGTGACACCAAACTCAGGAGTTCATTCTTAAACTTGCATTCAAGTATCTTAACTATTAACAATACTGTTCCTTATTTGTGTGTCATTCAGCTGTAGATCCTCAAATCATCTCTGAATTGGTGCTGACACTGCCCTTCCCTCTGGAGGGAGGTTACTTTTGTTCCCCATGGTCCCTGTGTGTGTTGTAAAGTAGCCACCAATCTAAGCTCACTCCAGTGATGGACTACAATCTCACGTTTTTAGTTTACTAAATTGTATTGAAAGTAGCCACCCTCCAGAAGGAAGGACAGTGTCGGCACCAATTCAGAGATGGTTTGAGGATCTACAGCCGAGTGATACACAAATAAGATACATTTCTGTTATTAGTTAACAATATACAAGTGATCACTACTGATGACTTTGAAAAAGAATTGGCTGAACCATGTTTACTTATGCCACCAATTTTGTGGGTTGTCATGTAATTAATGTAATACACCTTGTGTATGTGTGTGTGATATATATATATACACACACACACACACACACACACACACACACACTTTTAACATTTAAAGTGTTTATTTGAATTTATCAGTGTGAAAAAAACTAAATCCAAAGTAATTCAATGTTCTATGACAATTTTTTTTTTTTTTTTAAATCCAGTGTGATTCAATGTTTTATGCCAATAAAACAATGTGAGTAAATTTATAATCCGTGTATCTTGTACCATTTATACAATTTTTTAAATTAGAGAAAACCTAAACTGAGGGAAAAATTTAGGCTGCCATTACTGACCTCCTTTTGACACTTTTTTTGTTATTGCCTCAGAAAATAATGAAGTCATAGAATCAGCATGACTGCCAGACAACTGGCATCTTCACAAGGAGTCAGTAGGAATCAACTGATCAACTGATTATCGGATTTACCAATAATTGGGGCCGATATTCCCAGATTTTTTAATCATTGTTTAAATGTACCGATATTACCAATAATAAACACAGTGCAATTCGCACATTGGGTGCTGTGTGCCGGTGGCCGCTGTCAGAATACAAAACGAAACCCAGCAGATAGCAGGGGAAGCAGTAGCCAGCCTGCTATTGGCTATTTCAAATTGCAATAGCCAATAGCAGGCTAGCTATTGCACCCGCCTGCTGTCAATCAGCAGAGGATCGGACCTGAAGGAGAACTTTCTCCTTCAGGTCCCTTCTCTGCTGATTGACAGTGGGCAGGTTCAATAGCCAATAGCAGGCCAGCTATTGCACTGCCTGCTGTTTACATTCAGCTGCCGGCTGCAGAATCCTGCCGCTGGCAGATGAATTTGGGAGGAGAGGAGTCTCGGTAGGGGTTGGCCGATATCGGGCGACTGCCTGCTGTTTACATTCAGCTGCATGTAAACACAATATTGGTACCTGATATTGGTTATCGGCCTGAAAGGTTGCCCATTACAGGTATCGGTTCTAAAAAAATCGATAACGGTTGACCCCTAGAAGTCAGTAGTGGCAACCCCATAATTTTCTATAGAAGAAGGGAGCACAGGCTAATGTGTGAAATCATATTCTGTCTGAAATGTTTTAGCTAACTTCATTCCACCTTTTCTTTCATCTTTCAGTATGGATTATCCAGTCTCCCGGCTCTTATACTACAAGCACAGAGCACTATGACACCTGAACAACATTTCAACGATTTGAACTCCTAGCTGACACAGGGAAATGAAGGACTAAAACACAGGACATCTGTCCCAACTACATACATCCTGCTTGGAATAGAACATGATGAAAATACACTATAATATAGGTTGTATTTATTTCATTATTGGAGCTCACCTATTTCATTCCATTTGTAGTTTGCACGCGTTGTCATCGCTAGCTTATTTGGTTGGGGGCTTATTTGTAAAAATTGTGGTTTTATCTCTTTTTCTTTCTTTATAAATACGAGTTGAGTAATAAATATTTATAATGAAAATACCAAGTGTCTGTGTTCTCGTGAAGGAAAATAATCTGGCTCGTATGAACTGGGAGTAGCACAACTTGTGAGCAGGAAAACAGTTCATAGACTTTGTGTAGGGGTGGAGGTTTCCCATAGTGGGGAAAGAAGACAGGAATGAAGTGTCAGCTGGGGTAACTAGCATCAATATGGCAGCTGCTGCTTTCTATAGAGAAGCTGTATAGTGATGCTGATATAAATGAAGTGCCTGCTGCACTGTGGGGAGCTATGTGGGCTCAGAACATTCAAATTATTTCATACAGTGCAAATCCATGCAGCTCTATGTCCTCCCCCATCAATAATTATAGAGTTACCATCAGCTCAAATGCAGAATATGACTTTGTAAATTGCAACATTTAGTAAGTATAAGTGGCATTTGCATGAGAACTACCAGGGTTGCAGCGGCTGCAGCTGGGACCTGGCTCTGCGCTCCACCACTGTGCTGAAATCATTAGTCTGTTGTTTTAGAAAAACTGTCACATGACAATAAACACAAATGTATCAGTACTTGTAAGTACTTGGGCAAGTATTAGTACTTGCAAAAATGATATCGGTGCATCCCTTTATTTATATTTCTAAAAACAAAATCATACATTAAAACAGAGATGTACAAATCCCAGGAGCTCCGTGTGCTCCTTACAAATGACAGCTGCCTCTTAACTTTTTAATGTTTCTCTAGTCTAGTCTTGGAGCTAGAAAAGTATCTGTACTTGTACCAAGTACTGTACTTTGTACCGAGTACAGTGCACACTACTACTGTTCACCTATGGTAAATGTACACTGCATTGGATACAGAAGAGCTCCCTGCTGACATAAGGCTCAAAGGCTACCACCAGAAATGGAGATTCCATAGCAGCTGGGTTGCTCCAACATGTAGAATTATTATTATTATACAGGATTTATTTAGCGCCAACAGTTTGCGCAGCACTTTACAAAACTGGGGGAGACAATACAATTAACAATACAGTTTTTTTTTTTAACAATACATTTTTAAATGCAAGTACCTGAGTTTAATTTGGTATCAGCCTCTTGCAGTCTCTGTACAGCAGAGCTCAGGCATGGAGAGAGAAAAGCAGCACAATGAGTCAATCAGTTGTCCAGTAGTGCAGGAAGCCCATTAATAGGAGGAGAGAGCAGAGTGACAGAAACATGAGTTAATCGTGGAGTCACCAGGTGGGGGTGGTGAATAGACCTGTAAGTGTCACAGAACTGCAGCAGAGAAAAAAATCAGGCATCCTCTATGGCGTACGCCCGGCCCAAACACGCTGTACGTCAATCACACGTGACTCTACACAAGTCTGAACCGAGCGTGGCATCACAAGGACGTGGCGATACCACTCTCAGCTTAACCCTGCACAGAGAGTTTCCAGCTTGCGGGACACAATCTCAGGCCAGCAGACTGAGAGCGATCGTCGCCAGTGTTGGTTAACTCCACAGTTAACCCTTTACCCACAAACGTTCGCTGCCACCATGTGTTTTTTAACGGAAACACAGACAGTTCCCAGCAAATGCTGCGAAAATGTAAAACACTTAAACAATGCTTATGATACCGCTGTCCTCTCAGACAGGAATATGACCGATCACTATACAGTAGCGCTCTTCACAGAGGCAAAGATAAGTTCGTATTTAGAGCGTAGAGATAAGCTTAACGATTTTTAAGATTGTCCTTTAATAAAAGAAACGGTGCTGAAAATATACAGAAAAAGATATTAATAAAAAGAGACAAAATATATATAGATAACAGTAAAATAAAAGGAGAATACTTAACAGTCCTGGGTTTAGGACTCCTGACAGAGTT